GCTGCAGCCTCCAAACCCCAGTGGAGCCCCTTGGGCCTGGGGGTCGCTGCCCGCTGGCACCCCCACAGCCCGCCCTGAGGGGCTGGGGCAGCCTGTCCCCTCCTGTGGTGGTGACAGGGACTTTCTCCCTTCCAGGTGCAGGAGGAAGGAGAGGGGTCCCTGCATCCTGACTGCCCTGCCGGACGAGGGGAAGCTGAGGAAAAGCTCCGTCGATCCTTTGTGGTGGCACAGTGAAGCCCAGGACTCAGCTGCAAGCGGCCAAACTGTGACGGGGCGACGCTGTCCTGCTGCCTGCCTGACCCCAGCCCTGTCCCGCAGCCAGCGCTGCTGCTGTCCCTTTTGTCCCCTGCCAATGCCAGTGGGTGGAGGCTGCGCGCCCGATCGCTGCACTGGCATCCCAAGTTTGGGGCTGAGCTGTGGGCCCCACTTCTTCCCACGGGACAGTGGCGATGGGGGCTGCTCTCTCCACCGGAGCGGTGGTGGCAATTTCTTTTAACTGTGTCATTGCATTGCTCATCCTCATCCTCTTCCTCATCCTCTGCAAGGCTTGCAGGACCCCCTCGTGCCCCAAGAAGAGCCCGGCTTCTGATGCGGATGAGGCAAGGAATGAAGAGAAGTACCTGCTGCAGCCCTGAGCTTCTTGGGAGCTTGGGTACCTGGCTGTGCTGAAGGAGTCGCGCCAGCGTGGATGCCTCTGCTGGGACTGGGGCGGTGGATGGGGCAGGGTGAGAGCAGAGGGGATGCCGAGCTGCTCGCAGGAGCCGTGACATGTGGCACAGCCTTTCGCCTGCGTGGTTTTGGTGTGTGAAGTCCCTGCGGATGCCCTCAGTGACTGTGGGGATGGAGGGACAGTGGCTGGAGATGTGCTATGGGGATAATCCTGCCTGCCTCAGCGGCCAGCGAGCGCAGCAGGAGCTCTGCCCTCGAGTGCATCCCATGTTCGGGGACAGCCCATGGGCTCCTCCCTGGTGCTCGTGGCCCAGGCCAGTGGCCACCATATTGCAGACCTGAGCAGGGCCGGTTGGGGACTTGGCAAGGGGAGGCAGTGGGGCTGGCACGGGCACCTGTCCCTGAGTGGGGATCCACCAGCAGAGTGGGGTGTTACTGGTCTGGGTATCTTAGGGGTGGCCCTGAGGTGCCATGTGCCCCCAGCCTCAGGAGGTGCCATCTACCCCAGCAGCCAGTTTAATGAGCCACAAGAGGGTCTGCATGGTTTGCCCCTGGTCTGTCTGTCAGTCCTTGCCAGCATTAGCACCAACACTGCCAGGCAGATGGCCCTCCTGACGGGGTGCATGTCCCTGCCTGCCCTCCTGCCTGCTCCCAGCCGTGGCCAGCCGGCAGGGTTTGACCTGCCCTCCCAACCCTGTTGAGAGCAGCCTGGGATGGCTTTTTGCTGGGGAGGTGGGAGACATGGAGAGAGATGAGGATGCCTGGCCCAACAGCACTGAAGGGTGTTTCAGCCCCATGGGGGCTACAGGGGATCTGCAGGGAGGGATGCTGCTGGTCTGGCTTGTCCCCAGCCCTGGCAGCTGCCTTTCCCTGCTCTGCCTGCAGGTGCTGTGGGTTTTGGAGGGCTCTGCCCTGCCCATCCTAGAGCTGAGCAATAGCCAAAGTCCCTGCTGGCACAGCCACTGCAATAAGGGGACGGAGTGGGGTGGGCTGTGCAGGGAGGGATGCCGGCCAGGGTCCCTGCGCAGGCTTGACCAGGCTTGGCAGAGCCTGGGGTTCCTCCCCATGTCGGGTGTAGCTAACGCATTTCTTTGCAGCGGTGTTTTTACTAGACTAATAAACCCGTCGTAGGACCCAGGTGGTGTCTCTGAGCTTTGCCCAGTGCCTGGAAAATTTGGGGGAGGTGGCATGTCCTGCCTATCCTGCAGGGCTGAGGAGCGGCTGCACCAGGGCTGGTGGCCAGTGTCCCTGCAGGACTGCGGGTGGTTTGCTGGGTGATGGTGACAAGAAAGGGCTTGTGTCTGCATCCATCTGTGGCTTTTAAATGCTGGGTGAGAATTCTGGTTGGGTATTTCATGCCTGCAGCTTGTCTGCCTGGGCCGGGGGCACTTGGCTGTCTTCAGGGAGCACCCCCCGCCAGCCCTGGTGCTAGAGGCACCGGAGAGCCCCCGCGCCGATGTGGCAGCTATCCCCCCTGCCGCAAAGCGACGGAGTGGTGGGAAGGCTCTGCAAACCCCAGCACCCAGCGGTTCCTGTAGCCACCAGCTGGGCAGAGGTGGCTGAGCCCCATGCCGAGCCCCATGTCGAGCTCCCCTGGGGTAGAGGGGAGCTGTGACCATCCTGAAGCTGGTGGCTGGCAACTGCTGTGATACCCTGTTCACAGCGATGGCAGGTCCCCCCCCCCCAGCCGTGGGGAGCCAGGCTGGGTCCCCAGTCACCCTCTGGTTTAGGTTGCCATTCCAAAATCCAGACATCTCTGCGTGGCTGACCCCCCAAATGTTTGTGGGGGCTGCAGCTCAGTGCTCAGGCTCTCTGTCCACCACTCAGAGGGGCTGGCTACCATTGAGCTGCAGCCCTGAGGTTTCCCTTGGGCTGCTGGGACCAGCCCTCACCTGCCCTCCATGGGGCTCTCACCTGGTGCAAGCCCAGCCAAGGGTGGGGAAGAGCTGAGGGCCGTGCGGCTCTGGGGGCCGAGCACGGTGAGGTCTGCCTGACCCCAGAGATGACTGCATGCCGTGGCTCTCCCAGCACTTCTGTTTATTTGTCCAGGCACGGAGGAGAAGTGTTCCCACTATGCAAAGAGCGGGCGGCACAGGGCCCGCAGCTTGCATGCCAAGCAGCCACCGATCAAAGCCGGGCTTGTTCGGCTAGCGGCCCCCGGCAGAGTCATTGTTCCCTGCTCACTTCCCTGTCTTGCTGTCCGGCTCTCTCACCAGGTTAAGCAGCTTGTCCAGCTTTGCAATTTCTACCTCAGGGCCCTTCTTAACCTCCTGGCCTTTCTTCTCCTGCAAAGAGAGCAAGCAGGGCAGAGCTGTAAGCAGAGAGGACCGTGGGGGTGGCGCAGGGAGGGATGCTGGACTCCTGTGTCCCAGCTTGCAGACCTCACTGGGGGCTGATCCACAGGAGGATGCACCTGCCTGTCCCCATATTTCAAGGCCAAGGTGCCATGAGATGTGTGAAAGCCCCCATGGGCTGGGGAAGGGTGGTAAGGAAGGGTTTGGGTGGGGACAGGAGTGGATCTGTCAATCCACAGCTCTTTTTCCTCTTTCCTCCCAGCCCTTCTGAGCTCCATGGGACTGAAGCCCTCTAAGCCCCACAGCTTTTCCCCCCAGACCCCAGGGAGGTGCTAGGCATGCACAACTCCCTGGGCAGTCACAGCAATGCGAATGTCCAAACCTCCCCAAACATACCCGTTCCGTGCTGGTGCTCCTGGGGAGAGGCAGCCACAGGAGCAGGGATTGGCCCTTTCACACCCAAACGTGTACCCAGGAGGGCAGATGAGTGCTGAGAGCCCCTAATCTGGGCGGATAAGTGAGTCCCAGGCGGACTGTCACTGAGGCTCCCTTGTCCCCAGGCACGTCCCAGTCCTCCCATGTCATGGCCTGTCCCTCATTGTACACTACTGTGCCACCCCCAACACGTGCCCCAGCACAGGCAGTTGAGGACGAGCCCTTCCCACAGCTCCCCCAGCACCCATCCCAACCCTCCCAGGGGCTCACTCCCCAGGTGCTAGAGCAAACTGCCAGCATCTTGGGAGAAATCATGTAGCACGAAGGAAATAACCCTGGCTGGTTCAGTCCTCGCTTGCTTGGGAGCAGCAGGAGCTTCCAGGCCTGGTGGCAGGCAATGTCCCTGCTAAGGGAACCAGTGCCACCCAATGCTTTGGGCAGAGTGCGTGTGTGTTGTCTCCCATGCTGTGGGCTGCTGCATCAGTGCATGACTCTCGTTGGAGCTTGGGGGCTTTGGGAAGGTCATTACCAGGTTTGGGCTCTCCAGATACATATCATAGCACACACACAGCCACAGCAGAGGAATTTTCCAACCAAGCCCTCCTGCAGCTGACCATCTGCCCCATGGAGTTCCTCCAAAACGCCATCCACCCAGTCGCTGCATCCCATCGCTCAGTGCTGCCTTCCGCTTGCAGCCTTCCCCTTTGCCAGCCTGCCAGCTCTCGCCTCGCCTCGCCTCTGGATTTGAGGTTGGGGGATTCCCTGCTCCAGGGCTGGGAAGCTCCTCTGTGCCCAGCACAGCTCTGGGCACTCCAGAAAGCAGATGCCAAGCACAGGCGAGGGGGAGGGCTGGTACGCAGTCTGAGAGGCAGTTTTGGGAGAGGTGACAGCAGGTCCCCAACACAGTGGTACAGCGAGGGAGAACATCACCAACCAGGTTTGGAGGCCGCTCCTCTAATGGCCCCAAGTGCAGCAATTACATATGCACCTTTTCCTTCAGTGCTGGAAAGAAATGCTGGGGTACAACAAAGAAAGTTGTAGGGCTGCAGGGACCTCACTACGTTTCTCTAGCAAACTTGGGCATCGCTGAAGGTGATGATGGCTGGGAAAGAAGTCCCCAGGGGCTCCCCGGGCTGCTCCCTCACCCCAGCCCAGCACAACCATGACAGAGCAGAGGTTTCTTTGGCTGCCAGAGGGCAGTGGGGGACATTTGGAAATCCCTCTGCTCCCAAGAAGACAGCCCCGCTGCTCGCCTGAGTGCTGGGAAGAGGCAGAGTTGGTTTTATTTACCAAGTCCATCGATTGCATGCTGAGATGGTTCTGGTTTGTATTAATGCAAGTGAGCAACGCCCTTCGTGGCTCTGGTCCGGGCACTGGGAGCAATGTTTGTACTGACGGCCCACGTCACTGCCGAGCATCTCTCTGAGTGAGAGCGTTGGGATAAACACAGCTGCTCGGGGTATTTCGGGACTCAGCTATTTCTGCAGAAAAGCTGCTTTGCTGTCTGACGGTGTTCAAAACACTCCCGTTAGCACCCTGTGTTGCACACACAGCACCACACACAGGTCCTTAAGATGGGCTAAAGAGGCAACTGCTTTGCTCAGCCAGGAAAAGGAGATGCTGAAGCCATCTCCCATTGACCTAACTCGATTCCAAGCCCTTTGTTCTCCCCAGTGTTAGGGTCAGGGAGCGTCCCTGACTGAAGCCCTCCAGGTAGTAAAGCCAGGTCTGCGGGGACCATGTCTGAGCCTTGCTGAAGTCCGCAGCGGCTGAGCTGTCCCTAAAACCTTGACTTTCACAGTGGCTCAGCTCCTTTGTGCTTCTGAGCAAGCTGCAACAAAGCCACACGCAAGCCTGTAATGAGCCGTAACCGAACCAGAGCCCTAATTTAACGCCACATAACCAGGCAAGCAGGATGACACAGAGAAGGAAAATTATAATGTCCTTTTGGGGGCACTGGAATGGAAAGTTTCCCTTTATTCCTCCATCTGCTTTTCCCGGGGCAGCTGTGCATGTGAGCCAGCCGGGCCGCTGCAGGCTGGCTGACGGCACCACCGCGGCACCGCAGCATCCGCTTGGATGCACGTGGCAGCTTCCTAAAAATCCAGGGGCTTTGCCTGCATCAGGTCTCCGAGGAGCAGCCCTTCTCGGAGCAGAGCTGTTGCAATTTCCGGGAGCACGCGCGCGGTGCGGTACCTCTCCCACTGCTGCCCATGGGCTCTCCCTCCCGACGAATGCCGCGGCTGAGTGTGGAAAGGGCACTCACGGGACTCTGCCACCCAGCATGTAGCTGAGCCCATCCTCCGCCTGCATCCCTGCTTTCACTGCAGCCAGGGGGCTCATTGGGAGCCAAGAGGGAGCCGGGGCAGAGCATACCCCCCATGGAGCTGACAGATGCAAAGCTGAACTTACATGGGAGGTCTCTCCCTGAGGAGCTCATCGAAAGGGTACCAGAACCGCTCACAGCAGCGTTTGCATTGATTTTATCATTAACTGTTCCCAGCAGGAGAGAAAAAGGTTCTTAGCTGAAATGGCAATGAGGGCTGCGTCAGGAAAGCTCACGGCAGAGGCAGAAAAGGCTCTGCATGGGGACGGACTATGCCCCGCTGATGAGGCATGACCCCTGGGAGGTGAGATGGGGAGGAGATCCCCTACATGTTCCCAGGCTGTTGTGTTCATGGCTAAGTCCCCCATTGCCCTCATGCTCCCTTTTCCTTATGCTTGGGCTCTGCTCTGGTTCTCCAGGCAGGAAAACTGAGGCATGGGGCTCTGGGCCCTATCAGCAGTGCAGGCACAACTGCTGCAGGACCTTTGATGGTCTTCTCAGCCCCAAAGGTGAGTACTGACACTGGAACTGAAGCAGGAGGTGCAAGATGACTGAGGTGGAGCCCCAGGGGCAAGGGCAGGATGAGGGAGAGGACAAGGATGAGGGCAAGGACTGGCTATTTGAAGACCCCCAGATCCATCACCCTGGGAGCCCCAGCCCTCCCCACACTGTCACATACTAAACCCTACATCCAGGATATGGGAGTCATTTAAACTGGATTCCCTGCGTCTTGGCTGATGCCTTCATTCCCTTGCTGAACAGT